TTCTATGTCTGAATTCTGATGTGCCCAGGGTTGAGCAAGTAGGGATCCAACCAAGATGCCTAAGCCTCAATCAGAACCTCAGTGTCCCAGGAAGCCAGGAAATAACAATGAACCATATTGTCATCCTCTGTGGCCTGGCTTGGGTTGATCTATTCTTCTGAATCTTCCTCCCTCCTTTTACTGTCACTCACCACTGGGCATGTAAAAGAAGAAAAGAAGCTGAGATACTTGAGTTCCTACTATATGTCAAGCACTCTACATTCATATTTTCATGTAGTAAGTCAATCCTAACCACGATTTCAAGCAACAGGTGCCATTCTCCTTATTTTACAATCAAAGAAACTGTAGTTTAAAAAGATTACGACTTGGGAGAAATCACTACATAGTAAGACAAAGACTTGAGATTCAAATTCAGTTTTCTTAGATTCCAAGGTCTGTGCTCTTTCCATTTACCGTTCTGAAGAAATCTATGACCAAGGCTGCTGGAAAAATTAAGGGCATTCCTTGGATGTGTACAGGTGGTATACAGCCATGAGAGCTCATTTATTCCCTCCTTCCTTTCATTGCTTCCACTGCTGACTGAGCACTACCAATGTGTCAGACACTGCGCTGGACGACAGGGATAAAGAGAACCCTCCTCCTCAGAGGTTCACAGTCTAGTTAGAGAAGCACTCTAGGGAAAAAAGGAAAGAGAACAGAAAATGAGCAAGAGAGAAAGAAGGCAAACGATCCTAAAACATCAGAACCAGAGGGGTTCAAGGAAGACAACTACTCGAAACCTGGCTACATCACCTGGAAGACTATCAGAACTAAAAATTTCTAAGCACCCGATTCTGTTGATCTGGAAGTGGGGCCAGGGATGTATACTTTTAACAATTATCCCAAGTTGATTTGATAGAATAGGCCAGGTGACTAAAACCACTGATCCAGACCTTTCACTGTGTGGGTATGAGAGCAGAGGGGCAAAAAGGGGAAGTGACTAGCTCAAGGACACACAGGAATCAACGCTTCAGACTCAGGCATCCAGCTCACAGTTAAATGAACTTTAGTAATTTTTAAAAAATTAGAATAATTTTATTTTTATACATTATATATATATTTATACTCACATGACATTTTATGTACATGGATTAGGTAGCTCTTGATAATGTTATATGTTTACTGAAAAATGACTTTTTATAAAAATAAAGCATAGAAAATAACAAATCAATTTAGAAGATTAAAATTATCCATGGATACACAGAATGAATATAGGTTTTCGTAATCAAGAACAGCATTGTTCATCTTGTTGTACCTCTGACCACTTCTTTCCTAGGCAGTCAGTAAAGGGCAGAAAACTATAAATTAATCAAGGATAATGCTTCAAGGTACTGGTTCCTAGACTGTGATAGACATAAAAAAACAGCAATAGATAAATAAGCATTTTAGTATTTGCTAAAGCCTTCCTCCACCCAGAATGGGGATGTCCTGGCCACTGAAAAAATGATGGGCCTCCAGTTGCCAACTTCTCTGCAATGATCTCAATCCCTTTGCCTCACAAGAGCATCAGAAAGGTTCCCTGCCCTTTCAGCTTTAGATTCTTTTCATTGGCTACGTGCAGAAGACAGACATGGACCAGAGGCATAGAGAGGCTTTATGCCAAAAGTGTCCAATCTTTTGGCCTCCCTGAGCCACACTGGATGAAGAATTGGGCCAACATAAAGTACACTTAATGGCTGATGAGCTAAAAAAAAAATCTCATGTTTTAAGCAACTTTACAAAGTTGTGTTGGGCTGCATTCAAAGCTGTTCTGGGCTACATGCAGCTTGCTGCCAGCAGGTTAGACAAGCTTGCTCTAAGTCAATGAGTAGAGGCTGGCTCTTCTATAGGTCCTATGAGTTCATGGAGCAACTTCTCAGCAGCCGTGTCCAAGGGGTCCTCTCCTTTCGTTGTTTCACTGCGGTTTGCCTCTATAACTGCTTGTTCGAGAACTCTGTTGGCAAACTCTACACGTTCTGCTTCAACTTCCTCATGTTCAGGTTTTTTGGCAGTCTTGGCATAACAAAACTAAATTTTATTTACCTTCTGGGGCTCAGCTATCAAAGCCTACTCCCTCCTCTTCTACTCTCAGGTCATGGGCCCTGGACCTGATAAGGAAGCACAGAAGCAGTGGTTAGAGGTGTAAGTAGAAGACTCAGTAGAGCTCACTGTTAGAAAAGCTAAGTGCAGAAAGGATTCCAAAGAGAGGTGTAGCAGCAGTGCTGAGTAAAGGCAGCCTTAATAAGACTGGGGTGTCTCAAGACTTGGGCTCAGCTGACTGGCCTCTCCATTCTGGCTCTGCTCACTGATATACTAGGCAAGACACACCCTTCTTTTACCTCATTTTTCCCATTTGTAAGTGAAGAAATTGAATTAGCTTGTGTCCATGGTTCTCATCCAGATTCTGAAATTTGGGATTTTCATTTTTTTTCCTTTGGCATTGGATACAAATGACTAAGATTGATACTGTGACTCAATGTTTATAATCCATAGCCACAGATTCTGAAATTTCAGAGCTAAAAGAAATTGACCAATATAATTCTCTCTTTTCTACTCACTTGATGATAAAGAAACTAAGGTCCAAAGAGGGCCCACTTCCAGATCTATAAAATTGAGTGCTTAGAAAGTTTTAATTCTGATAGCTACCAGGTGATGCCACATGATTCCAGGTGACGTTAAATTCTGGGAGGACAGAAACTATCTGTCTTGTCCTCTATTGTACGACTGGCCAGATTTTGTTAAATGCTTGTTGAGTGAATAAATGAACAAATAATCTCCCTCCAATGTCATGCAGCCTGGGACCAGGGGAAGTATCCTTACTCCTCGCCTGGAGGTAGGGGCAGATAAGACTGAAGCCACAGACTGCTTCTGGCCCCTAAAGGTATGATGCTTTCCAGCTGGAGAGCCAGAACAGAGCCAGGAACATTCTCAAGGCTGGTGGTGCCAGCAATGCTTGGCCACAAAGTGGGCTTCTACTAGAGTCCTCCGTGTTGTGCATAATGAATCACGATATATCAATTACCGCATTCTGTTAACAAGCTCATGTCCACCTGTGCATCGCCAATGAGTGCCCTGCAATTTGCCACAGCTCTGCAGTTAATACATGGCAGAACAAGTGGGGCAGAGGATTGAAACACTCAGGCCCAGGGAAATCAGGTGATTGGTTTGTTTTTGGCAACTACTGGGCTTGATGATTGGGCAGCAGTATGCAGAGATATATTCTCTCCTCTCTGGGGAAAGGGTCTGTGTCCTGGGTATTCTTTCCTGTCCTGACTCAGATAAGTTCAGATGGAGAAAGCCATCTTTGTATTTTTTTTCTCTGAAGTATTGAACAAAATGGGGCAGAGGCAGAATGGTAATTAAAAAATCACCTCCAGCATGGTTTGATGGTCTAGTCTTCTGGTCATCAGCACTGAAGTCTCACACAGCATTCAAAATATGGCTCCACCACACATAAACAGTGTGATCTTGAGTGTAACTCTTAATTTCTCTGCAACTCCATTTCTACATCAGCAAAACTGGAATAACACTTACCTCATAGAGATACTGCAAAGATCAAATGAGAGAATGCATATCAAACCCAGAATGGTGGCTGGCATGTAGCAGGTATACAATAGATAAGCCTCCTACCATGTTAGAGGTGTTTTCTGAAGGGATTCTAATCTCCTGAGGAAGATTAGGGCCAAGAACTTAAGCAAACCCAGACAAGAGCCTGTAGATGTGTGTGTGTATTCCCCCAGTGGCTCCACAGTAATGATTAAAACTGCATTCATGTGAGGATGTCAGATCTGCCTTCCTCACCTCCACACTGGCTGCATGAGAAGTGAGCAAGCCTCCCGGTGAGAGGGGAGGCTGTTCCTTTCTCAGGCAGCACCGCTGCAGCCCCTGACCTACTTTCTTACTAAAAATAGCTCTTCTTAGGTCACTGCTGCAAATTGAATTCCACTGCTTCACTGCACCCTGTAAGCAGGTGGGTGGGTGCCAGAGCACATTTGGTGAGCTGCAAGCTTCTGCTTATGTGGTGCTTGCTGCCCACCAAGGATGCTAATTCCACATGCCTCAGCAGAGGGCAGAGCATGTCTGCACTCAGCAGGGCTGTACGTGACTCTGCTGGGGTTCCTTTATTTGGTGGGACACGGGCAGGGAGGGGCAGTGAGGGAAATTCTAGATTCAGTTTTGAAGTCTGGCAGACTGAATTGAAATATGGGATCCATGCTTTCTTATTTGACCTTGGGAAAGTCATGATTTTTCTTTGCCTCTGTTTTCTCATCTGTAAAATGGAGATAATAAAACTGACTTTACAGTATGATCATACAAGTATTTTAAAATGCTACTTATAAAGTAGTCCTTGGCACAGAAGAGGAGCCCAATAATGAAGCTAGTACAGGTATTCATTGTCGGGCCCATTGCTCCACATGCCCTCTAGCTGAAGCCTCTCATAGCAGGAGTAGCAAGGGACAGGAGGCCAATCCAAGAACTAGAAAGATTTTACGCTAAAGGGCTTTCGGGGTACTGAGGTCAAAGGTTCTCAAACATGGCTGAGCATCTCAATAACTATGGTAGCTTGTTAATAATACTGATTCCAGGTCCTTACCCTGGAGACTGGGACTGAGAAAGTCTGTCTAGGGGCTAGTGAATCTGCATTTTAATAAGCTCTCCAGGTGATTCTGATGCACTGCCAGGTTTGAGAACCTCTGAACTAGGCCACTCACCTCATTAAGGTAAATGGGTAAATGAATTACTATTATTTTTCTTCCATTATAAGCATAATGCATAGTCATTATAAAATATGCAGAAAACATGGAAAGGCAAAAAATAAAAGTAAAAAGTAAAAGTTCAATCATATATTGAGTGCTTATTAAATGCCAGGCCCTTTTGCTGAGTCCTGGAGATTTGTTGATAACACAATTCTGACCCTCAAGGAAGGCCCGGTCTATGTGCAGAGATAGAAACAGACAAGAAGACTATAACACAACAATGTATTAGAGTCAAGTTACAAATTTTATAGAGAGAAGGATGAAGGACCAACTGATTCTACCTAGGAGTTAGGGAAATCTGCAGAGCTGGACTAGAAAAAGAGTAAACATTCATGGCTAGACAAGGGAGGAAAGGGCATTTCAGGAGGAATGAACCAGACATACAAAATCATGTCCATATACAAAAGCATACAGGGGGGTAAAAGGTGTCTGTTAGAAAAATGTCCTAAGGTCACTATAGTGAGGTCACCATATACAGTAAATAGTGGTGGCACAAAGACAGCTGGTATGAACATCTGGGTCTGGATCAGGAAGGGTGTGGATAACATCAAAATGCTTCCTCACTGGGAAGTATATTACCCAGTATATTTTTCACATATGGCTTTTTGTTTTCATTTTTACATGACCAATGCTGTAATTCTTACTTAATAAACACTACATATTAGTCAAGCAGATAGGTCATCTTTTATCAAGTTCCAAATGTTAGTAAAATTAGGTAGATCCTAATTTTACTAAATTAGAAAAATACTATGATGAACATCTTTAACCATAAAGCTTTTCCCATATTTAAGATCTTTCCTCAGAGGAGAATTCCAGCATATGAATAAATAAATAAAAGTGAATAGATATCTTCAAGGCTCTTGATAATACACCAAAGGATTTTCCGAAAGTGGCCCAAATGTTTTTATAAATGAAACAAGGCCCAAAAAGGTTCCATGTCTTGTCCAGATCATACAGTTGAATAGGGGTGCTACCAAGAGCAACATCTGGGTCTCTCAGCTCCCAGTCCAGCTCTCTTTCTTCTGACCACATTGCTTTCCTACAAATCAAAGAGAGTCGAAATAATATCTATTCAGCCAATGCTTCTAATCAATTTCTAAGTATTTTAGATTAGCAATGTACATGTATAGGAAAAGAGAGTAACATGTGCATGCTTACATGCACACATGAAGCTCTATATATGAGTCATTTTTCCATCCTTATCATGTATGCTCCCCTACCAATGACAATTTTTGTTCTAGTCAAGCTGAGCAAATCTTATGTTGTCTTACCTCCACACCTTTGATTTGATCCTACATGAAATGTATCTCTTGTTCTCCTAGTCAAATTCTATGCATATTTTTAAAATCCAGAAAGCATTTCCAGACTGTAGGCACTTATTATCAACAACAGTCATATGTGATATTTATTTTATTGCTTTGCAGCAGCTCTGGTATTAATATAAAATTATTTAAGTTTTACCTATAGAATAAAAGCTGCCTCAGGCTTCTGTTATTAGAAAGGGATAAAACAACCCCCTAACCCCACACTTGAAGCTAATGGGAATACTTCTAGAGTTTGATGGGCTGAAGAAAGGTCAGTCCGATCCCTTGTACCTTCTATATCTTCAGTAGTAGACATCTTGGTAAACTGGAAAGAGCATGGGACTAGGAAACAGAATAATAATAACTTCCATATGCTGAGGATCTACTCTGACCAGGCACAATGCTGGATACTTTATATACATTACTTAGAATTCTCAAAATTACTCCCAGCAAGGGAAATATCATTAGATCCATTTTACAGATGAGGAATCTTAGGACCTGAGAGATTAATTTATTCAAGGTCAATATCATCAGTAAGTGGCAAAATCAGGATTTAAACTCAAGTATGTCTGACTCAAAAATCTGTTTTTTCTCCTTTACTATATTATGTCTCAGCAAATGCCATTTCAGTTCTAGCTCTATTACTTTCAAGATACATGATCCTCTCCTGGTCTTTTGTGGTTGTTGTTGTTGTTGTTGTTGTTGCTATAAGAGAATACCACAGGCAGGATAATTTATGAAGTTGATTTGGCTTATAGTTCTGGAGGCTGGAAAGTCCAAGAGCATGGTGGAGGCATCTAGTGAGGGTCATCCCAGGGTGGACAGGTGGAAGGAGAAGAGAGCACATTTGAGAAAGAGCCTGTATTTTTAACAAAGCCACTCCTGCAAGAACTAACCTACTCCCACAATAATGACATGAATCCATTCATAAGATTGGAGCCACCAAGACCCAATCACCTTCCAAAGGCCCCACCTCCCAGGATTGTTGCACTGGATCAAGTTTCTAACACATGCACTTTTGAGGAGCATATTCAAACCATAGCAGATGCCTAACAGGACATTCATGCTCTCCAAATCCTGCCTTCTCACTAATAAGATAATCATCTTCCCATCCTGCCCTTTACTCCCAACACACACATGCACATACATTATAATGGGTATAAAAGACCTAGACCGACATATGGGTTGTTATTAGAGTCCTGAACATCACAATTGATCACTCTGGTGATAAATGGACATCCTGCCAAGATCCTCTGTCACCTTAAAGAGAATTTAATTATGCTCACTATACAGCTCCTTCTAGCATCAGAGTGAATGGTTACAATGCCTTTTGTAATGACTTTCAATAAGGCCTGAAACCAAGAGGTTAATACTCTGGTAATCATGGTTCCCTGGGATATTTTCCCACTCTATCACATATACATATGCATTTCTATATACACTTGTACACATCTTTCACTGGCAGCCTGTTTCTAGAAAGCAGGATTCAGCAGAGGGAAACCTGGGCTTGGATTCCACCACCAGAGTGGAAATTGTACATGGGCTGGGGGGGCGGGCATTTATTCCAGTTTTCCAGAGGCTTCTGGTGAAATGTCAGGAGATCTGCCTGAGGTGTCAGAAGACCTGGGTTGTAGTTTACATTCTGCTGCTTACTTACTGTGTAACATTGGACAACATGCTTGACTCTCAGCCTTGATGTCCTTCTACACAAAATAGGGATGGTACTACCTTAGATAAATTAGCTAACTTTCCTGGGGCAATATTTTCTCTCCTGATAAACTGTCACAATTACTATGTATATATCCATACTATGTGCTGGCTCTGTGCTGAGGGCTTTCTACACATTCTGTCACTCCTTACAGTCCTGTGAGATGGGTACTATTATCTCCAGTTGATAGAAGAGGAAACCTATGCTCAGAGGCGTTCAATAATTTGTCCCAGGTCAAACAGCTGTTAAGTTACAGAGTTAGGATTCAAACCTTGGTCTCCCTAATTTGAAATCTAGTGCCCTAAACCATGAAACCATATTCCTACTTACTGGAGAGCTGCTGCAAGGAAGAAATGAACACACACTAATTCTTATGTGTCTCCTATATATCTAGTAGTTTGCATCCCTCTTCTGTAAGACACACGAGTACAAGGATGCTCTATAGAGCCCATGCACATGAGGCTGCTCTGTGACTATCCCTGTGTAGGAGTATATGCATCACGAGAAGGGAAGGGAGAGACAGGACTTGATAGAAAAGTATTTACTGCTCTCCAAATTCATGAAGTCAGCCATACTAGAAACATGGGTGAGGTTTTATGGATGAAATTTCTCCAAAGTTTTATAAGTTGGAGAGTTGACGGCTGGAGTAGCAGTGACAGAATCTTGCTGAAGACAAGAGTAAAACACTTGCATTTATGCATTATCACAGATTTTTAAGTTGATGGTATCCATTGGACACGAATAAGGAAAAAGATATGACTGAAATGGCAGGAATACTCACCTCAGAGAAGGTGGACAACCCCACCCCCACCACTGCTTACACAGAAAGGATGAAGGGACACGAGGAAGAACCTACATTTTGAAACCTTAGGCTGGATTGAACTAAAAATAGAGCTGTGATTCAAATGTCTATTACTGAGTTCTCTGCCTGTGCACTCTGGAAACCAGGTTGTTTCACTCCCCATCAAATCTACCTCCCCAAGGTGCTCATTCCCACAGCTTGGAGACACAGCAAAGTAAAAACTGTTGAGAGTCTAATGAGCGTGTGGTACCATGCTGGGCCCTTTATACCCATGATCTCATCTGAGCTGCACAACAACCTTGGGAAGCATCTACAGAGGAGGAAACTGAGGCCCAGTTAGGTGAGATGACTTGTCTAAGGTCATTCAGTTACTAAGCGGCAATACTGGGAATTGAATGAACTCATGTCAGTCTGAGTCCAGATCCTATCCCATGCTCTTTCAAACAGAAATCCTTGCTACATTTCAAAGAGACTGCGCTTCATTTTAAGCTTAGTGAGTGAGAAAAGCAACACTGCTCCCTAATTTACCTTCTGGCTCTGGGAAGGACCCAGCAAGGCAGCCATTTGAATGATTCATTCCTGTGACTGACAAGGAAACTTCTCTTGGTTATAGCTTCAGCAGCTGCTAAATCTGCTACACACCACCCCACCCCACCCCCTCCATTTGGCTCAGGTAGGTGGAATTATTTATGTAAGAATTTCAGTGGCCTCCTGCCTTAAGCATGATTATCATAGATTTTTAAGTGATAAAAATGTCACAAATAATAATAAAGGACAAAAGGAGTCAGGGTCAAGGAAGGTAACAGGAAAGAAGATATTCTGAAAAGCAAAGTAGTAGTTACAGATGCAACAGGGTAACTCTCAATATTTACAAAAAACACTTTCCTAGGAACTTATTCATCTGATCCTCATAAAACCCTGGTAGATGTTACTGTCTCCATTTTACAGATGAAGAATGTGAGGATCAGATCTGAGGTTCAAGGTCAGACCGAGGGTGAAATAAGAACTTAGGTCTCCTAATTCTCGCTCAGTGCTTCCCACAACCCACTCACCCAATAAAGCGAAGACAGAAATCTATGAGAACTATCAGAGAAAGAACTCTGTAGTCTTGCTGTCCTGCATGGCAGGACCAGGGAAGGGAAAGTGGCTGTGACATTATCAGAGAGAAGTAGCATGGAGTCTGGAACTGTAGGCTTAGAAACATTTTTCAAGTCTCACCTTAGATATATCAAATAATCGTGTGACCCTAGGCAAATCACTTAATCTCTCTGCCCTGATTTCCTCACTTGTAAAACAAGGCAAACAATAGTACCCACTTCACACAGTTGTTGTGATGATTGAATAGAAAAACAAAACACCATACATGAACAGTACTTGGCAACAAGGCAAACAATCAGTAAGTGTTAGCTGTCACGGCTTTCATCATTATCATCATGAAATGGCACATGGGAAATGTTAAGTGTATGTTCATATCCTCTCCTTCCCCTTGCTCCTGTATCTCCCAAGGTACCACACCCCCATCTGTTATCTATATACCTACTGAGAGGAGGTCTAGGGTCAAGGAAGAGCACACAGTGCTTCTTCCCAGGCAACCTGACTGAGCTGGCCTTGTTTACTGGGGCAGTAAGCTGCTACACAAAGTCATTAATCATACTTGGTGCTATGTGCTTTCAGGTCACCCCACAGAAATTAATGACTCCATCTGGCTTTTCCTCAGAGAGATAGAGCCTTCCCATGTATCCACGTATGGGGCTCCTACTGAGGATTCAACCTTTGCAATAGCTTACTGGAACCTGGAATGTCTACCAAAATGAGCTGGTCCCTGCAAAGAGGGACCAGGAAGCCAGGTGTAGTGACTGTAATTCCAGGACTTTGGGAGGCCGAAGCAGGTGGATCACATGAGGTCAGGAGTTTGAGACCAACCTGGCCAACACGGTAAAACCCATCCCTACTTAAAAAAAAAAAATACAAAATTTAGCTCGTCACAGTGGCACACACCTGTAGTCCCAGCTATTTGGGAGGCTGAGGCAGGAGAATCACTTGAAACCAGGAGGCAGAGGTTACAGTGAGCCGAGATTATACCATGCACTCCAGCCTGGATGACAGAGTGAGACTCCATCTCAAAAAAAAAGAAAAAGGACCAGGAAAGCAGTCTTTGCCCTGGGCTAAATTATTGCAGCAGCAAGAATAATCACAGAATAGTGACATTTATTTAACATTATTAA